TTGTTGAGTTGCAAAAGTTCCCTTTATATCCTGGATGTTAAGCCCTTATCAGATATGTGATTTGCAAATAGTCACTTCCATTCCATAGGTTGCCTCTTCACTGGATTGACTGGGTTTTTCTTTGATGCTCAGAAATTTTTAAGTTTGATGTAGTCCAATTTATTTATTTTTGCTCTTGTTGTCTATGCTTTTAGTGTCATATCCAGTAAATCATTGCCAAATCCAATAGCCTGAAGCTTTTCCCTTATGTTTTATTCTAGGAGTTATATAGTCTTAGGTCTTACATTTAGGTCTTTAATCTGCTTGGAGTTAATTTCTACATGTGGTGCAAGGTAAGGTTCCAAATTTATTCTTTTGTATCTGGGTACCTAGTTTTCTCAGCACCATTTGCTGAAGTGTCCTTTCCCCATTGTGTAGTCTTTGCACACTTATTGAAAGTCATTTAGCCATTTATACAAAGGTTTCTCTATTCTGTGCTCTCTATTCTTTTAGTGATTTTCAAGGATTACAGTTCTGCATATAGTCATACTTTTTAATATCTTGGTAGGTATTATAGTTAGCTCATTTTTGCTGAGGTATGTATTTAAAATAAAGGTAGACAGATCCTTATGCTACCTTGAAACAGTAATGAGCATATTTTTTTTCAAGTAGAAATGCCCTTAAACTCATATTCTCATGGTCCTTTTTTGTCTGTGTTTTCTCCTTATGCTACCACCATCTTCTATTATTTTATGCTCCTGAAATTCCATTTTGACCTAGGCATCAATTTGTGTTTTGATTGATAACATTGTTTTGCAACCATTATATCAATGTATACATTAATTCATTTTCATATCATTTGGCATCATATGTTACACTTTAATTTAGTAAAAAAAAAAAAAAACACTGAATGCTAACCATGTTGTAATCACTGTGCTAGGTGTTAAGAAATACAAAGAAGAAAATACTGTATTTCTGTCTTTTTTTTATTGTACCACTTTTCTCTGGCCCAAGAACTCAAGAATAGAAACTGGACCAAATACCTAGTTTAGTGCATTTGACACCTTAAAGAAAGCCAATGTGAGAGAATTAGTGAATGAGAGAGAGAATGACAGGAAGATAATGAGAGATGTAGGCTGAAGTCAGCTTATGGTATAATTTTATATTTTTATCTTAAATTCAGTGGGAAGTTCTTGAAGATTTTTAAGTGGGAGACAGAAAGTATCAACCCTTAATTTTAAAAGGAAAATCAGATATAATGTTGAGTGGCAAGAATGGATGCAATTTGAAATATTATTTTTGTAGAAAGTCTCAGTCATTTATAAACCTTATTTTGTGGCAAATTGATTTGTTAAACTGCAAAAAATCAAAATGAATTCATGACATATTTTTCCATACCTCTTACAGCAAAAAGTAATAAAACAGCAGCAGCACCAAGTTACAGACTTCACTACCCAAATTTTGTTCTCAAATACTCTTAGCCTCTCAACAGAAGTAGGTCTCCTTACATTTCAGCTGATTTTATGTCTTGGAGAAAAAATTAAATATAGGCCTGGAACATCCTGCTGTAACCAGAAAGCAAGGATACCGTCAAGACAAAAACAAAAGAACTAGCTTGACATGGCCAAGTTGTAACAATCTGAGCATCAATAGTAATTTTGATTAATTAAAATATATATTTTTCAGTGTTCTGAGTTCAAACTGGTACTCAAGAAAATATCAAGTATGGACAAAGTAGTAGTTACATGAAAGTAAATATCATGGATTATGTTTGTTATTGCTTTCCATAAGCAGTACTATGCTAATGAAGCTGGATAATTTGTTTCATCTAGGTATATGTCTATATATGAAGTATAGATAGATGTTTATCTGTATAGTAAATGAAAGTAATAATTGAAAACTGTAAGCCAATAGTCCAGAAAAGCAAATCCAAAAATAAGAAGAACTATTCAGCAGTGGGGTAGCAAGTAGAAAGGAAAGAAAGGAAGTTTGCAGTATGTTGCTGAATGATTTAGTCAGATATCTTAAAAAAAGAGGGACTAATTGCTCAGGCTTGATTACTTATTTCCTTGGAGATGAGTGTCTAAATGGAACTACTACTTATAAAATAATAAGGCATATATAAATATTATGCTAACAGGTAAATATATTAATGACATGACATGAATTATGTAATTTTGGTCAGTGAGAAAGAATACATCATTTCTGTGGAAGACATTACTTGGTAAAAATCTGGGTAAGTTATATAAATAGAGTAAACTTAAAAGGGCTTATTGATGTAATACACGAGGTTTAAATTTAAAAAGAAAGCTCAGTCTAGTGACAAGAAACTTGAATTTAAATCCTTTTAGAAAAGTAGACAAATCCCATTATCTGACTATTTAGTTGATAACCCAGGTCCTATAACCATAACTGGCCTAATGCAGTAATGTTTTACTTTGTGGTCTTTTGAAAAGTCTACAAGTCCAAAAAAACGCATCAAAACTACTGCTACTAAAACTCTTAGAAGATGATTCAAATAAGTAAAACTACAGTCTTGGTAAAAAAAAAATTAGGAACAACAACAGCAAAAGAATTAAAACTATGATATTTTACAATAGATTTAGGGGTAAACATAGCTTTTGAAATAATTCTATTTAGGTTTTTAAAAATATTTAAATTCCAGTTAGTTAACATACAGTGTGATATTAGTTTCAAGAGTACAGTATAGTGATTTAACACTTGCATACATCACCCAGTGCTCATCACAAATGCACTCCTTAATCCCCATCACCTATTTCACCCATCCCCCCACAACTCCCCTTTGGTAACCATCAGTTTGTTCTTTACAGTTAAGGGACTGTTTCTCTTTGTTTTGTTATGTTTCTTGAAGTCCACATATGAGTTAAATCATATGGTATTTGTCTTTCTCTTAGTTTGCTCAACATTATACTCTCTAGATGCATCCATGGCAAGATTTCGTTCTTTTTTATGGCTGAGTAATATTCCATCGTGTGTGTGTGTGTGTGTGTGTGTGTGTGTGTGTGTGTGTGTGTGTGTTTGTGCATGCCCCCCCCCCATCTTCCTTATCCATTCATCATTTGATGGACACTTGGGCTGTTTCCATAATGCGGCTATTGTAGATAATGCTGCTATAAACCTCAGGGTGCATGTATCCCTCTGAATTAGTGTTTTTATATTCCTTGGGTAAATACCTAGTAATGTGATTGCTCGATCATAGGATAGTTCCATTTTTAACTTTTTGAGGAAACTGCATACTCTTTTCCAGGGTGGCTGCTCTAGTTTGCATTCCCACCAACAGTGCAAGAGGGTTCCCCTTTGGGCACCTGGGTAGTTCAGTTGGTTAAGCATCTGCCTTCAGCTTGGGTTATGATCCCAGGGTCCTAGGATGGAGCCCCCTGCTCAGAGGGGAGCCTGCTTCTCCTTCTTCCTTTGCACCTCTCCCCCACTCATGCTCGCTCTATCTTGCTCTCTCTCTCTCAAATAAATAAATAAATCTTTTAAAAAAGAGGGTTCCCCCTTTCTCCGTATTGCTTGCCAATACCCATTGTTTCTTGTATTGTTGATTTTACCCATTCTGATAGCTATGAGGTGATAGTTCACTGTAGTTTTGATTTGCATTTCCTGATGACCAGTGATGCTGAGCATCTTTTCAGGTGGCTGTTGGCCATCTGCAGGTCTTCTCTGGAAAAATTTGTGTTCATGTCTTCTGCCCATTTCTAAATTGGATCATTAATTTTGGGGATGTTGAGTTTTATAAGTTCTTTATATATTTTTGGACATATTAGATATGTCATTTACAAATATCTTCTCCTATTCCAAAGGTTACCTTTTAGTTTTTATTGATTGTTTCCTTTGCTGTGCAGAACTTATTTTGATAAAGTCCCAATAGTTTATTTTTTCTTTTGTTTCCCTTGTCTCAGGAGATATATCTAGAAAGAAGTTGTTATAGCCAAGGTCAAAGAGGTTACTGCCTGTGTTCTCTTCTAGGATTTTTATGGTTTCAGTTCTCACATTTAGATCTTTGTTCTATTTTTTAAGATTTTATTTATTTATTTGAGAGAGACAGAGTGAGCACGAGCAGAAGGAATGGCAGAGGGAGAAGGATGGGGAGAAGCAGACCCCTGCCAAGCAGGGAGCCCGATGTGGGGCTTAATCCCAGGATTTTGGGAAATTGACTGGAGCCAAAGGCAGATGCTTAACTGGTGAGCCACCCAGGTGCCCCCTTTAATCTACTTTGAATTTATTTTTATGTGTGGTGTAAGAAAGTGGAATAATCCTATTTAGGTTTATTTTGCTGTTGTTTAAAGAGTTTGAGGTATTCAAAAGAATTAGCTGTTCTAAATAATATACTAATTACACAACTTAAGCTAATAAACTAATAGTTTAATTTCTGTAAAGAAATTAAGTTGTAATTAATACTACATGTTTAAGAAAAAATCAGTTTTTCAAAATTTTTTCAAAATATCTTTTTTTTTTTAAGATTTTATTTATTTATTTGTCAGAGAGACAGATCATGTGAGTACAAGCAGGGGGAGCGGCAGGCAGAGGCAGAAGCAGGCTCCCCACAGAGCAAGGAGCCTGATTGTGGGACTCAGTCACAGGACCCGGGGATCATTACCTGAGCTGAAGGCAGATGCTTAACCAACTAGCCCTCCAGGCATCCCTCAAAAAAATCTTTAAAGTGTTTCTCAGACCTCTAAATTTTTTTAACCCAGTCTATCTACACTTTATTTCAAGAAGGAAGTGCCTGTATTTATAGATAAACATAAATACAGAGATAGAGATGAATCTAAATAACAAAAATATCCTTAAACCCTAGGGAATGTCTTACTTTTCAAACAAAAAAATTATACAACAAAATTCTTATGTGCACAAAAACTATAGTTAATCTTAACAGAATTCTCTGTGCTTTATTAAATACCAACAAGTAAAAAGTTTTTTAATCCCCTAGTATAACTGGCAGAATGTAACACTTACACATTTGGATACATAAATACTCACATATTAGAAATACTTACATAGTAGAATCTCTTTCTTGAGAAAGTGTTGCCTCCTGTGAAGCTGAAACAACAGAAGGGGATCTAGGATACAGTCCATAACCTTCACTTGGAGTGATTATCTGCTTACCCAGAATCCTTCAAAATGAACAACATAAAGAGACAATTAAGCACCTTCACCTGTCATTCATACAAAATGTAGATATTTTTGGAACAAATTTACTGGCTCTATATAAAAGTCCAGTACATACTTAGTTTGATACTGTTTAAGAATAATTCTTGGGAGAAAATGTGAATCCACAGAGAGAGGTACAGCTCTCTTCCAAAAAATGGAGATGGAAAAGATAAAGATAAAGCCTCCCCACCATTGAAAAAATGAAGGAAGCTGAGCAAACATTTGTAATTTTCCCTCTATCCTCTACAATAATCTTCATTAAATCTGCCAAAATGGATGAAAGCCAGGCCAATTTAGTGAAAACTATGAATTATATTCTTAAGAACATGATGCTTTATAAATTTTAAGTATAAATTTTAAGTCCTAAGTACAGTAATGTGGTTTCTGAGGAACGTTTTCTAACAGCTTATGTCTGCTTTCAAATATACATAAGAATTTTCTTGTAGACAACAGTGTAAACAAATACATTTTCTGACCTTCTTGCTCAAAAGAAGAGCTGTTTGGACGGCCACAATACACAGATCTCAGCTACTGGTATAGAAATTGTTTTACTCAGGACAACATAGTGGTAGTTAGGAAAACTCCAAGAAACTTCCATCAACTTGAATTTTCTCTCAACTGAGTTTGTATACCATATGGCCTTATTTAAATTCATTAAAACCAAGCCTATAAAGATTTCAAAATAGCAGCTCTTTTGGATATCTGCTTTTCAAGTTTTAGTTAGCCCTGAATACAAGCCAACCATGGGGCTCTAATACCTGAGGTGAGGAAAGCTACATGTCCATTGTTGGCACTCTTCTTGTAGACTCTTAGTATGCACACTCAACTTCTGCTCATATAAGAGCTCGTCAATGGCTGTGAACATTGCCTGGACCTTTTCAGTGGCATTTTGATCAAGTTCCTAGAAGAAAATACCACACCAAAATATTTAGGTAACCTTTTAAAATCATAAAGGTTGAAAGCAATCAAATTTTGTTTTCAATACTTAATCCATTTCAAATACTGTTGAATTTCCATGAAAGAAAAGCTATTGAATTTTTGTATCTTATAATATTCAGATTTCCTTTATAGTCTTATTCAAAGAAAATTTATAGAAATATTTATTTTTTAAAGTAACATTTTCTTCATCATAAAAATACTATGTTTATTGTAATTTTGTAAGATCCAGAAAAGTATGAAGAAAAATTAAAATTACCAGTAGTTCTACCAAATATAATGACTGCTAATTTAAGTATAGTTGCTTGGTTCCAGTATTTATTTTTTTAGAGCTCTCTCAGTCAATCCTATATATTTGACTCTTTTTTTTTTTTAAGAGTTTATTTATTTATTTGACAGAGAGAGAAATCACAAGTATGCAGAGAGGCAGGCAGAAAGAGGGGGAAGCAGGCTCTCTGCTGAGCAGAGAGCCTGACGCGGGGCTTGATCCCAGGACCCTGAGATCATGACCTGAGCCAAAGGCAGAGGCTCAACCCACTGAGCCACCCAGGGACCCCATATATTTGACTCTTGAACAACATGGGGCTCAGGGGTGCTGACCACCACCTCCCCCCAGATGCACAGTCGAAAATCCATATATAACGTTTGAGTCTCCAAAAACCTAACTACTAATAGTCTACTGGTGATTGGAAGCTTTCCCAATATCCCATATTTTATCTATGTATTACATACTGTATTCTTATCATAAAGTAAGTTAGAGGATATTGAGAAAATCATAAGAGAAAACACATTTACAGTACTGTACTATTTTGAAAAAAATCCACATAAAAGTGGATCCACACAGTTCAAACCTGTGTTGTTCAAGAGCCAAGTTTAGTCTGTATTCTTCAGTTGACAGTTTAGGTTATGTCCCTGCCTTCTGTAATTCTTTAGCAGCAGCCATAGGGATCTAATCATGTTTTCTGATTCTCTGCTTACCCTCTACTTCATCTGTATTTATGCATCCTTTTATATTCTGGTGGAAGAAAAGTTAAACCTTTTTCAAAAGTATAAGATAAGAAATCTATATTTTCACTCCATGAATGAAAATCATCTTCTACCCAATTAAAAAAGGCTTGCTAAATAGATATGAAGGTTAACTTTAAAGACTGTTGACCTTAACAAAAACAAGAGTCAGCTATTTTATAAGCAAAATGAGCTTATTTGGGAATAGCAGAGAAGTGGAACTGGGGACAAGCAAACTCATGGCAAACCACAGGCAAGTCCAGAAAAGAGGAGAGGGGCTTGCTTTTATAGGTGAAAGGAGAAAGCTAAAAAGGTCCATTATGGCTTCTCATTAGCTGAATGTGGGGGTTTCTCACTAGCTGGGCTGTTGCTGGGTAGGAAGAAATTCTTCCTTCTGTTAGGGTATATAAAGTAAGCTTCTTCCTGTTGGGGAATACGAGTTATGGCTTCTTATGGAGGTTGGTAGTGTGTGAGAAATCTCATTTAGGGCTTCTCAACTCCATGTTTAATGACATTTATTTATTTTCACAGGACTCAACATAAATAATATTCTAAAAATTTCTTACTGTTTTCAAACTCCTGCAGGGGTACAATGGGACTTTACTAGTCTCAGTGAAATTTGTTATTTTTTTTCATGGAGGTCAAAGTTCATTATTATAGGTAGAATGGGATAATGTTGAGAAAGACGTGACTAGGCACAATCTCCTAGCAAGGTATCTTTTTTTTTTCTTTTTTTTGCATCGCATGCATTTTTTTTTTTTAAATTTTAACTCCAGTATAGTTAACAATAATGCCATGTTAGTTTCAGGTATACAATACAGTGATTCAACAATTCCATACATCACCCTGTGTTCATCATGAGAAGTGCAGTCCTTAATCTCCATTATTCTTTCACCCATTCCCCAGCCACCTCCCCTTTGGTAACCATGTTTGTTCTCAATAATTAAGAGCCTGTTTCTTGACTAATTTATTATTTTTTTCTATTAAATATTTATCTACTTAAATACTGTTCTTCTTGTTGGTATTTGCCTATTAAAACTTTTCCCATTCCTTTATTTTCAGCACTTGGGTATCATTCTGTCTTTGACATGTTTATTTAAATAGCATGTAGCTGGAATTTTAAAATCCAATTTCAAAGTCTCTTTTATTACTAGGTGAATTTTATCCACTTTTACTTATTGTAATGTGCAATATTTGAACGTATTTCTACCATTTGTTTTGTGTTTGTATTTATCCTTCTTTTTCTTGTGTTGTTTATTGTCTTTTCCTTCTGTTACACTGATTTCCTTATTTCCCCTATTAATTTGGAAGTTATTCATTATGTTTATATTCTATTAGTAGTTACACTTAAAATTTTAGCATCCATAATCCCTTATTTTTCTAACAAAGTCTGATGTTTTTTAGCATTTTGGTTCTCCACTGAAACAAAGCAAGAACTTTGATCATTTCACAATATATACATATATCAAATCATTATATTGTATATCTAAAACTAACATAAAGTTATTGCAATTATATCTCAATTTTTAAAAATTAAATTTAAAAACAAAAATGGGGGGAAGGAGAACATAGATATGAGCCATGTTGTGTGAGGATAGAATCCACAGAATTTGATGACTGTTGTGTGAGGATAGAATCCACAGAATTTGATGACTGATTTGATGAGAGAGATGGTTAATGAAGATGAATCTTCTTAGATTCATCTTCATTCATTCATTCATTCATCCTCTATGCTGCTGATAGAAAGGATGATGCTAGGGATGCTAGGGATGCCTGGGTGGCTCAGTCAGTTAAGCCACTGCCTTCGGCTCAGGTAAGATATCCTTAACTGAGAAGATCTCAGTGGTCTTTATACAAAGTAACCAACCAATCGGTACCATATGTTTTTTGTTTAACTTTTTATTTTGACCTAATTTCAGACTTAATATCAGGTATCTTTAAAGTAGGAGAGGTAAACACTTGAGACTTCTCAGGAAACACTCTTACCAGTTCTTTCTTAAGCTTTAAGAACATGTGGATAATGAAATCAATATAAACTGTTATTAAATAATAACCCCCAAAAGTGAAATAGAATAAAGTAGAACAGGATGTAAATATAATAGTATTACTCATATAAAGGTTATTACTTTATGGAACTTTGTCTTCTGTTTTATGTACACACAGTGAGTCAACTAAATGTCTATGTCAACTACATGACAATTACATGTCTTAGTGTGAGTTGCAATTTTAAAAGCTTGATGCCACCAATCTAGACAGGGCCCAACAAGCCATTTTTCTAGTGGAAACCCTCCCTACTTCAGTTTACAGGATTAGAGTATAGACTGGAACAAAAAGGGATGCAGGGGCTTAAGGCATCTTTCATCACTTTGACAATGAATGACAATCCAACTATGTAAAATATATTTTTTAAAATGACTTTGATGTGCTTTAACTTCCCTCTAAGTATTTTTCATGTTTTATTTTGAATATTAGTATTAGTGTTGTTTTTAACACATAAGATGTTATCTGTTTTGGTAACTACTTAGGTTTACCAATATGCTTTGCCAATTACTTTGCTTTCTGTTGCTTCATGTAACCCATTCCTTTCTTCTGCCTCTTTCTTCTTGGTATTATCTATCTTTTAATAGTTCTCTCAGTGTGTGTGTGTGTGTGTATATATATATATATATATATATATATATATGGGTGGGAAACTCTTGTTTCATAGATGTTTAAAATGTCTTTATTTTGCCTTCACTATTGAATGCCAATACGTCATATTTATATATCTCATTTATCATATATGAGATATATCAATTCAAATATATATGTTACATACACACACACATACATATATACATACAATTTAGCACTACCAGAAGTGTGTGAGCATTAAATTTTGTTCCACATCCTGGCTAAAACTAGGTATTGTTGGTCTTTATAGTTTTAGCAGTTTTAGTAAGTGTGAAATGGTACATCATGACAGTTTTAAATTTGTATTCCTCTGATGATTAATGATACTGAGCATATTTCTATATTCTACTTGGTCATATATCTTCTTTCATGGAGTTCAAGTCTCTTGCCCATTTTTTTCAAATGCTTTGTCTTCTTAATATGGAATTTTAAAGTTTTGAATACAAGTCCTTTGTCAGATATATGTACTATTGCAAATATTCTCTCTCTATCTATGGCTTACCCTTTCATTCTCTTGATGGTATATTTGAAAGCACAAAATATTTTAATTTTGATGAAGCCAAATTTATCCATTCTTTTAGGCTTGTGCTTTTGGTGTGTCATATCTGCATACTGTTGTCTTGCACATTTTCTTATATATTTTTTTCTAAAAGATCAACAGTTTTTTTTCTCTTATATTTAAAGAACTTTATTATTTTGAGTAAATTTTCTATATGGTGTGAGTTAATCTAATTTCATCTTTTTGCATCTGGATATCTAATTGTCTCAGCAAATATTTATGGGAAAAAATACTTTCCCTATTGAATTGCCTTACCATCTTTGTCAAAAATCAAGTGACTCTAAATGAAAGGGTTTATTTCTGAATTACCAGTTCTGTTCCATTGATCATTATGCCTGTCCTTATGTCAATACCACACTGTTTTGATTATAGCACCATTTTATTAAGTTTGAAACATGATAGTGTAGGTCTTCCAACTTTCTTCTTTTGTACAAGTTTTTTGTTAAGTTTATCCCTTTTGTTGTATTGTGAATTAAATTTATTTTTTATTTTTATTTTCAGACTTGTTCATGTACAGTTGTTCATGTTCATGTTTCTACAATATGTAGAAAGATTCTTAAATTTAGGTACAATTCATATACATGAAATTTATCTTTTTGAAGTGTGCAAGTTAGTGGTTTGGGGTATATTTCCAATGGGTTGTAGTATATTCACAATTGTGCAACCATCACCAGTAACTAATCCCAGAAAACTTCATCACCCTGAAAAGAAACCCTATCTCCATTTTT